AGGTTTCAAATGTCTAGATGTTACCGCTAGGCGAATCTATATCTCTAAGCATGTGAGATTTAATGAAGCCATTTTTCCTGGGAGAGTTCTGTTCAGATCTGCCTCTCAAAGTTTGTCTGATGATCATACCACTGCACCTTCTTCTCTTGAGTCATTCTTACTTTCTCCACAGCAATCATCACCAACCATATGGTCTCCATTATCATCATCCGCAGCTGATCATCCAGTTGTTGCAAATGACAGCATACGTTCTGTGCCTATTTCTACAGGTTCTTTTGATTCTGTGTCTGTTCTTGCAAGATCCTTTGATGAATCTGCAATTAGCGTTCCCTCCTGAGCCATAGAATACTCATCTTATGGTGACCAGATCAAAGGCTGGTGTTTTTAAGCCATATGTTTTTTTAGCTACTGGACTTGACCATTTTACCCTCGCAACATCACTGAAGCTTTTAATGATCCTACTTGGCGTGCTGCTGCACAAAAAGAATATGATGCTCTCATCAATTTTCCTACATGGCAACTTGTCCCATTACCAGCTGATTGTAAGCCTTGGGTTGTAAGTGGTTGTTCAAAATTAAAAGTCAAGCTAATGGCACTATTGCTCAACATAAAGCTCGACTGGTCACTCAAGGGTTCTCTCAAGAAGCTGGTCTAGATTGCACAGATACTTTTAGTCTTGTTGTTCGTCCTGCTTCAGTAAGAGCTCTTCCCACTTTTGCTATTTCAAATCACTGGAAGTTGCATCAAGAGAACTTGAACAATGCATTCTTGAATGGAAATTTGATTGAGGATATATATATATATATGGAGTAGCCACCCGATTTCGAAGTTCAATCATCAGATGATAGCCCAAGACTAGCTTGCAAGCTCATTAAGTCTCTCTATAGACTCTAAAAAGCTCCTAGAGTTTGGTTTTATAAGCTCAAGGACTGGGATTTGTTGATACGCGTGCAGACTCATGCTTGTTCATAAAAAAATCTCTTGACAGTGTTGCCTATGTTGTTGTTTATGTGGATGACCTCATTGTCACTGGAAGTAACGAGTCAGAAATTCGAGAGCTAATCACTCAAATGAGTGATCTGTTTTCCTTAAAAGACCTAGGTGATCTGTAATTTTTTCTTGGGATTGAGTTCAAATATCTATCTCATGGTCTCCTTCTGTCTTAGAAAAAATATATTTTGGATCTACTTTAGCATACTTCTATGTTATATGCAAATGGTACTCCAACTCCTATGGTTTTTCCAGTACAACTCTCTAAAAATCCTTTCTTCTCTGCTGAAGCTGCTGCTAAGGAGAAAGAGAAAGAGAAAAGTAAATCGTTTGACAATCCTAAGCTTTATTGAAGTGTTGTAGGATCTCTGCAATATGTCTCTTATACCAGAGCGGATGTGTCTTATGCAACAAATAAGCTTAATTAGTTCTTACATGAACCTCTGATCAAGCACTGGGAATGTGTCAAACGGTTACTACGTTGTCTTTGTGGAACTGTGAATCATGGCTTGTTTATCAAACCTATAACTCAGCTCTCTATTCAAGCATTTGATGATGCAGACTGGGGTGACAGAGGTGATGGCAGGTCTACTAGTGGATTTTTTTACTTTTCTGGGACCTAATCTTATCACTTGGTATTTAAGGAAACAAGTTGTAGTGTCTTGAGGACCACAGAAGCATAATATATAAGCTTTGCAGATGCCATTGTTGATGTGTTATGGCTAAAGTCCTTGCTAACTGAAATGAGGGTTCCTATTACAGGTACGCTAGTAATTTAGGTAGATAATTCTAGAATAGTCTCTTTAGCTGCTAATCCAGTTCTACATTCAAAATCAAATTACTAGTGGACTGGTTAATGTGTGCTATGTTCCTGCTTTTGAACAAGTTGGAGATATTTTCACAAAGCCACTATCTTTTGCACCATTTACTTATCTTCAACAGAGATTAAGTGTCCTTGGACATGAATATGTTTCTGTGCAGTGAACCCCATTATGTTGTTTTTGTTGATTTGTAATGGGGTGGATGTTAGAGTATTATACAAGCCCAATTCTTGTTCGGTTGATTAGAGTTTTCTGTTGTAACCGTGTTCTGTTAGTTTAGTTATATCTTGTTCAAGTACTTAGCTAATAAATACAGTCTTGATGTACTTAGCTCATATCTCACTGCAATCGTATCATTTCAAATATTCTTATCTTTCTCTCTCTCTCCTCTCACTTTACCCTTAATTCATTGCAAACCAATGATTTCACATGATTATTCTTTTGGATAAATTTGAAGATATAAAAATATGACATTCAGTTAACATTAAATATAAATTAATTTTGACGTTAATAATAGTAAAGAGTGAAAAAAAAAGAAATTAAATAACCATAAAATATTAATTAAAAATAATGATATATAAGATTTTATTTGATTGTATTGGTGTATTTTTATTGGATGGACAATAAATAATGTAATGCATCAGGTCCATCTAGAGTCGGTAATTCGGTGGGAAAGGGCTTATTCAAGCTTGGCTTATAATATCTTAACATATAAAAAAACCTATATAAGCAAGCCTAGTCCTAACCCTTTGGGCTTCGGGCTAGCTTAGATACTCAAATTGTTAAATATTATTTTATTTTATTTTTTATTTTTATGTAATTTAAATTTTTATTTAAAAAATAATATTTTTATTTTTTATCTTATTTTTATATTATTTTATTATTACTAAAAAAAGAATTCGGATATTCAAGTTATGCCCATTCAAGTTAGAGCTTAGCCTAGATTCCCTCAAGTTCATTTAGGTAGCTTGAATAAGTTTAAAGTAAAAAAATTTATTAACTCTTAAGCTTGACCATAAAATTTTTTAAATTTATTTAGGTTGGCTTATTAGATTTGACTTAAATTATCACCTCCATATCTATCTAAGAATTTCTCCATTCCTTTGAGATACTATAACCTTAGAACTTAGAAGACACTTTAACTCCCTCAGCATTTGAGCATCTTGATCACACATACCATTTCTGCAAATAATATCATCAGAGGCAACCTCCTCAGATGAAACAAAAGAACCATCACAATTTATTTTGACACAACCACTATTTGGTGCAAGCCAGCATCAATTAACCAATGGCCAAGCCATAACCATAGGTCAAAGGATGTGATGTATCTTTTAAAATTAAAAGCTCAAAATAATAATTTTAAAATTTAAATACATATTTTATAATTATCCTCTACTTGATTTTTTGTAATTACTATATAATAATTTTAATGCCAATGTTATTAAAAGTATTTCATTGCATATAATCCTACTAAAATATTATTTTGATAGTGATTAGTGTCGCCCATCTTTCATAGTCTTTGGAACAAAGTAAAGTTTTTTTTTTTTAACCATTGCAATAACAATATGTAAATCATTGTTAACTTAAAAAAAATTAAATAAACTAGTAGATAAATATGTCTTTTAAATTAAATATTATTATGCATATCAACAATATAAACCTCAAATTGATTATACAGTATTGTTGAATTAGTTAAATGTACATTCAAAATGATCTATATTTATAAGGGAGCACAATCTTATGGATAGAGGAGGCAAAATGTTAAAATTTATGCCACATGTAATTTTTCTCAAATTGACGGTTCCTGTGATGTGCCCTCCCCCCCTTTTCCAAAAACGGAAATGAGATTAACAAGCTTTTAGATGAATACTATTAGGATTAGTTCAATGAAGTGCTTTTATTCATGATCAATTTGACCATAATTTAATTATAGTTTTAACTATTAATTATTGAATTAGTGTCTTGATCGATTAAATAATTAGTCCACTTTTTAATAGCATCTATCCTTCCACTTCGGTGGTTTAATATACCATCTAGGCTAAAAATTAAAGTTAGCCAATTCCAAGAAACAAATGAGATATTATCTAAATTCTTTTTATTGAATTTTAATATTTGTATTTTAGAAAGAGCAGAGGACACATGATATGATACTATAACTTAGAAAGAGTAGAGGACACATGATATGATACTATAACAAATCTATCATTTCTTTTTTCTTTTTAACATCAACTAATCTATCAATTGCTATCTTAAAAATGATTATTCGAATTACACACAAAAATTTATTGCAAACTTTAAAACTTTTGTGTCGCAAATTTAAGAAAATGCACATGGCCAGGGACGGATTTAAGGAACAAACAAGGGTGCTTTCCCCATTTTACATATTTTTTTAAATGCTTTGCTTTTATTTGTAAAAAATGTTAAAACTAATTTTCCCCTCATTATTATGTAATCTTACATTTTGGCTCCCCATAGAGTTGTTTCTAGATCCCTTCTTGCACATGGCAGATATATTCTTCGAGATATGTATTAAATAAGAATGCCAGCCATACAGTACAGATAAGGATTTCGTCATCATGAATTAACAAGTTGACTTCAGTGAAAAAATCATATTGTATTTGTAGTTGAATTATTTTCAAAATCAGGGATTAAAAATTGTAGGAAATTTATAGTCAAACTTAAAAAAAAAAACGAGAGATGCCATATAAATGTGGACATCAGAAAACAAACAGTAATTACCTTTTTTTGAGAATAATGATATGACAAGAACTGACTATCAATTATAATTATAAATGAATAAATAAACATTGTTTTATGTAAATAATAAGTTAATTATATAAAATTGGAATTCCTCCTACATGACATAAGACTCTGTTTCCAGGAGGCCTGCATTATCTTAACCTTCTATAGTAAACCAAATTATGTAATTCAACATGCGTCAATATGTTAAAAGAGGACAATTTAATCAGACACGAAATGCAAATATTGCGTTATTATAAGTCCTCTTTTAGTAGTGGCCGGCACCATGAGGGACAGAGATGTCTTCTTGTTGTCTCCTGTTAACTGGTTTCTACACTTCGCAATATATAGAGAGATAGATTGACCATTGCTTCCATGTGAAGTAGCAGAGTGTTAAGTTTGTGCGTTGAAGGAACAGAGATTTGACATTGCAACACAGAGAGAGAAGAGATGGAAGCAAGTAAAGGTGGTGAAGTGAGAAGGATTCACATTGTCTATTTCCTCAGTTTGATGGGTCGTTCTGAAGAGCCTCATCTCATTCGTGTTCATCATCTCGCTCGTAATGGAGTCTATCTTCGAGGTCCCTTTGTTTCTCTGTTTCATTCACCAGTTTCCTATTAATCTTCCTGCATATTGCTATATGATTTAAGAAATATGTTTCATGTTTTCAATCTCTGCATGCTATTCTGTCTTTAATGCTCTGTTTCTCACTTGGACACTTCTCTGTTCCTCTTCGGTCTCTAATGCTTTGTTTCTTTCTTTTAATAACGATTAAGGTTTTGGACTTCTCTTTTAAACATGAAAGCCACACTATTGAGTTTAGGAAGTCATGATTTATTTTTAAAAAACAGATAAAAATGGGATGAATTATGATTAAGGTTTTTTAGATGGTGGGTTTAAGAGTTACAAACTCCTCTGTCTCTCTGTCTGTAGTACTCTGTTTCTCACTTTTGCAGGCCATGATTTTGTTGAAACAAACAGATAAAAAGGTTTCATGAGTTACATTTTATCGACTTTGTTTATGTGATAACAGATGTGAAGAGGTGGCTTGGGGAACTGAGGGGGAAGGATTTGGCAGAGACACATGCTTGGTCCTACAAGAGGTTGAATGAATGGTACACTTGTACTCTGCTTTTGATTTTGAGGGATCAAATTGTAACAGATTGTGTGTGAATGATTGGGATGCAGGATGTACAAAACAGGGTATGTGTGGCAAGACTTGTTGGATGACGATCTCATTACCCCAATTTCTGACAATGAATATGTCCTCAAAGGATCTCAAATCCTCCCTCTCCCTTTTGGTATGTCCTTCATCAAATAATGGAGCCTTGTCCTTTACTAATAATTTTCATAATAAGTTATATAGATAATATTTGTTGGAACTTATAAGAATAACGCATGATTTAGATGAAGGGAAAAATAAAAGGAAAAAATAGGGAAGATAGGAGAAGAAATTTTTAATCTAATCCTATCTAATACAAATTTCTTTTTTATATCAACTTAACTGACTTTAAAGAATGCATTTTTTTACTCATTTTGTTCAAATTTTCACCATAATTCTTTTTTCTTTCAATTGTCAAAACATGCTATTAGCAAATTTTATACAAATTTTTGTAATGTGTTCCAAAACTTTGTCTAATCTCTTTTCTTAGCTTAAGTAAACTATACATTATATCTTAACTCAAAATATTAAAGCTAGAATAATTTCATTTTTCACACTAGAATAATTTTCCTTGACCTGTTTGTTATACAGAAACTTCTCTATTTGGTGAAAGCAAAGCTTCCACATTGAATGAGGAGATTCCTCTACAAGTACATGACACGAGGGGCAACGAGCAGAAGCAGAAGCAACCATTGATAACAAAAGAACTTCAACTTCAAAGATTTTCATATTTGAAAGCGAATTCTCAGGAGAAACTATCTTCAGAAATCAGCTCTGATAGATTCACATTAACAGATACTGAAAATGAATCTTCTAAAGTTGAAGAAGACAAGCTTGAGGACATAACAGCCAAACACGACCCAAATCACGAACCGAGCCGAAACAATCTTGAGAATCACTCGCTACATTTTTCTCCGTACCATCATCCCAGTTCGTTGAACAAGAATAAGAATCAAAGTAGCCAAGACAACAAAACTGACACACCAGAGACATCATTTTCTATATCATTATCATCATCTTCTTCGTCGAAATCACTATCTCCCTTGAAAGGATCAAGCAAGAGATTTTCCTCTGGAGCTTTGTTTCGCAACTTGATCACTTGTGGGGCCTTAGATATAAACGACGACGTCACGGTCGTACTCAACCAAGCTGACAAAAATGTCTCCAGGAATTCTAATAATAACGCCCAGATTCGCAAAGATGACAGATTCGGAGGATCAGCCAGGAATCTTGGAAGTTGTTGGAATCCACAACAGCAGCAGAATTATGAAGCCAGGTATATAAGTAAATAAAAACTTGCGCTATGAATATTTCAAGTTGATTATACAAGCGTCTCGTATCAGGTTTTGTAATAGCATGAACTTTCATATTTGCAGAAAAAGCTGTGATGGGAAGAGCACAGTCACAAACAAGAACAGGAAGAAGCTAGGCGAGTTTCTGAATCAGATTCCTCACAGACCATTTGGGGGTCAATTTTCTCGAGATGATCAACTGAACATGGATGTAATGAGAGGACTCAGAAAAAGATTCATAAGAATGGACCATTATGTTTAGATCATCATTACCAGATTTCAAGTTACATGTAATCTGGAATGAGAATTCCTGTTGGCTACATCAGATTCCACGTGGACTATTGAAATGACTAATATTTTAAAAACTAGATCGGTTATTGAACCAGACAAAGTATTAGTTCAAGATTCAATGGTCGTATAGTGCTATTATTTTTGTCCTATTATTTATATATAATTTATGAGACTTAATTGATATTAATTTTCTTATAGAATAATTGTGTATAATTTTATGATCTTTTTTTAATAATTTTTAAGGTTCTTTCTTCCAATTTTCAAGTTAATTAATAGTTAAAATTGTATTTTTTAATGAAAGGGTGCTCTATGCACCATTTTTAAATGTTGAAAGAAGAAATTATATTATATAAAAATTTAGCATACGAAATACTTCTCATTAATGAATAATTAAATGACAAAAATATTATTTTATCCTATTTTCTAAAGAATCAGCCTGGCCCAACGCACATCCAAATGATCACATTTGATCCAATAAAGCATGAAGTAGCCATTGAATTTGAATTTAAATTTCAAAGAGCTTATACAATTAGGGTATGTCTCCATATTTAAAGAATACTTATATAAATATTTATATATTATCTATCAATAAAATCTTCATATCAAGATTTGAATTACTTTTATTCGAACAAAATCTTTCAATCCCCCTTCTCCCTAGTGAAATGTACGGCATACTAATCAAAAGGGAATTTTGAAAAGTTGTAAAAAAAATTATATTTAACTAATTATTTTAACTGATTTTCTTAATCGTGTGAAAGTAATTAACATGACCTTATAAAAGAAGACAGGAGGGAGTATGATAGTATGTTATTTGTTTTGTTAATTAAGATATATAAATAATTAAATATGTCAAGTGAGTATAAGATCATCAATTGTATTGTAAGAATATGATAAGCCCGTTAAGTGATTATGCAAAAAAAAAAAAACAAGAAGAAGATATTTTATGAATATTAATTAATAATCAATTCCACTTTAATCATAATACTAGACCAAAAAAACATAATAAGATCATCACTTTCTTATCATTCTTCATATCATGATAGGAGGATAGACAAATGTAGATGTGAAATTGAATTTTGGCTTTTGAAAAGTTGTGGGAACATTCTAAAAATAAAAAAATTATTGGAGTTACAGTCCATTTTTCCTCTTATACTCTCCTTCGATGAGCATTAGAAATCTTGTATAATTAAGTGAGGCATTTTTTTTAAATTATTTTTTAGAGAAGCAAAAATCTTCCTTTGTTAACTGATAAATAACGGATGAGAATTTTTGTTCTTTTAAAAAATGACTTAGGAAAAAAATGACACACTTGTTATTAAAAGGCACCTAGTGCTCTTTGAAGGACTGTACAAGGGAAAAAATGTAACAGCATAGCCCTCAACCCTTTACACTAGCGAATGCAATGCTGTCACGTATCCCCTCACAGGTCTATATGCGACTTTTCCCATGATAGTACATGGGTTATTTCTCACCCACCAATGAAGTCTTTTGAAACCTTCTCAGTGATTAAACCCCCAATCTCTCTTACCTTAAATAATTGAGGCTAAATCTGGTATCATTGAGTTAAGTAATACATAGATTATTCCTCACCCCATTAAAGAGGTATTTTGAAACCTTTCTAGGCATCAAGCCCCTAATCTCTCCTACCTTAATGAAGTTGTGGCCAACCCTAGTACCATTGAGTCAACTTGACTCAATGGTATTAGACTTAATCTCTACTTTCTTAATATAGTAGAAGTTAGAGGTTTAAGGCTGAGTCAATTTCAAAAGACCCCTATAAAGATGGGGTGAGAAATAACCCAAGTACCACCTTAGGAAAAAGCCGGCTTGGGCTCCGTGAGAAGTGTTAAAGCCCAGTTCAAAAGACTTTCAGTGGGGTGGGGTGAGGTCTATTACAAAGAATGCACTTTAACCCATAAAAGAAATCAAATAGTTTTTTTGTATCCTTAAAATTGGTTTTTTTTAAAAAAAAATTCGTACACCTAAGCAACTGTTGGTGGTAGTGTTTTCTTTATTGGTTTGAAGATATGTAATCAAAAAATTGTATACCTAGTCACAATAATCTATTGAAAAACTTTTGATTGTATAAGAAAAATAACTCCAAGTAATTGGAGTTAATACATTGTGAATTTTTATTTGGTTATAAAATTTTTCATCTTTTTCTTTATTAGTAATTGTGACGGAATTTGTAGCCATCAAGATCAATTAATAATACTTTTTGTCTTTCTTAGAATTTGTAGAAATAAAATTCCATATGTTTTCTTCTTCATAGGGTGGAAAAATTGCCTTTATTGTCTCAACCTTGAAACTCTAATTTTAAAGGACAAACTGTATGATATATTCTTTTGAAGTGTATTTTCTTTTTTGAGTTTTGTTGTTTCTAACTAGACAACAACTTGTTGATATGTCTAGGTTTTATAGGGATGATTTTATTGGAAACATAATCCTCTATCTTTAATGGTCCATTTGTTTTTTGGCTTACGGTTAAAGTGCATTTTCATCAATATATTCTTTTGAAGAATGTTGGGTATTTTATATTAATAAGTGAAATATTTTTTCTTCAATCATTTTTAAAAGAGCAAAAATCTCCCTCCATTAGTGGTCTGGAGGGAAATTTTTGCACTTTCAAAAAATGATTCAAAAAAAAATGTCACACTTATTAATATAAGGTATCAAATACTTTTTTTAAAAAAGTGAACAAAAATGTACTTTAATCCAAATTGTTGTTTGGGAACGCATTTATAAAAAAGAAAAAAAAAAAAACCTATCTTGAAAGCACTTTATAAAAGCTCGCCAAAGTACATTAGTTAAAAGTGATATCTAATCTACTAACTTTTGAAGAGTCGATTTACTGATGGGAGAGTTGGATAGTGTACGGGTTTCAATTATTTATAATTTTAATTGAACACATTTTTCAAACATTTTCAAATATATTGTACTTTCTCAATTCAAAAATACAAGTTATTTTTTTAAAAAGTTAAATATTTAAAAATATAAAATATTTTTAATTTTTTAAAATATAATCATTGCTTTTTTTTTTTCAAAAGTACTCTAATTGATGAATGACTTTATATTTATTATAAGGTATTTAATAGGAGTAAATATGAAATAATAAAGTTAGTTTAAAAGTAGGTAACTTTTTTATTGGGTGATGAAATTTGATTAAAAATGCCTTACATTTTTTAACGGAAGGAGTATTTGTTTAACAAAAATTACAACTAATAAAAATAAATGTTTTTTTTAATAATATATTGAAAAGCAATTTTTACTATATGTTATCTACAGTTTATCAAATTAATTTTTTTTAAAAAATATATTTTAACATAAATTTTATTATAATAATTAATTTATTTTAAATTGATTTTTACTAAATGAACTTTTAAAAATTAATTTTTAACTAATAGAAAACCAAATGGGCAGGGATGAATCCAGAAGTAGATACTCGTGGGGGCAAGAATTAAAAAATAAGAGAGGTGAGGAGGCTAAAAAATCTGATTTTTCTTTTTTTCAAAGTAAGAAATATACAAATTACTATAACAAATTATGAAAGTCACTGATTAGTCACTGCAAACGGGCACTACATCCGCTAGTATTATTAAAAAAGGAGGATTTGTGTCTATATTTAATGTTCGACAGTACTTTAAACAGAGTTGTCTTTAATGAAAGGACATCTATAAGCTATAAAAAAAACTATTCATGTTATAATAATTTATAATTTTTTTAATTTTTGAATATGAAAAACTTTATGATAAGTTTTTTCGACATTCTGTTCAAAAGAAGATTATTTGATAAATTTTAACACATTATCTAATTAGGAAAAAATTTACTTCAATATAAAAAAATTTATTTATATTAAGCAAAAGTCATAAGTCGCAATAATAATAATAATGATAATAATAATAAAGCGATCTATTGTCAACTGAAATACGGGCAAGGAATTTTAGTAATTTTAGTAATGATAATAATAAAAGAAAAAAGAGTTTATGAGCCTTATCTTTATTAGTTCAATTAATAAAAGTCGAGCTTGTAAAGATGACCAATTTTATAATAAACGGGATATTGGGCCTGGGCCCATAAGCACCAAACCGTCCTATTTGCCAGCTTTATGGAAATTGACACCGCAAGATGGGGCAGCTATGGCTTGTCTAAAATGGAATGATGTGCTTAATTGGAAATGCTGATTCCGTCTCATTCTCATGTTTCAATATCAGTGGTCTTTTTAGGAATGTCATTCGCAGTCAATGCGTTTTTGAGTTATGACACTGTGCCCTACTGGCCATGCAATTATGAATTATTTTTAAAGAAATGTCATTGTTGCTAGTCACCATGTGATGGCACTTAATTAATAAAGATATCCTGATAAATTAAAGTCGATGGTCTCATATATTAGAGAAATGTGACTGAGAAGATTAATTAGAAGGTTTCTTGATTTGAATTACTCCCACTGTTTTATACTCCATCCGATCTTATATGTGACTCACTTCTAATTCTCTTATTAAAATCGAAGAGTTTTAGTTAATTAAATTATTGATGTTATTTGAAAAAAATTCTCAATTTAGCTTTGCTAAATGTATTATTCTTAAAAATATTTTTTTCTTTTACATATAATCTTTTACTCTACTCATAGAAAATTGAAAAGTGTAAAATTGAAAAAAAAATTAATTAAAGATGTACATTTTTATGTAAAGTGGCTTGTGAAAAGGACCATCAATTCTTTTGGGAAGAGACTTATATATAAGAATATGGAGGGGAATAATATAAGTCCTTCTTATGAAAAATTTTTCATTTTATTTTATATATATTTTAAAAAATTTAAGCATCATTTATTAACATTTTTATCATAGTATGCCCTTATTTATTTCAGCAATTGTGTTTCAAAAACACTGTTATATTTTATTGATAAATGAAAAAAATTTGTGATGAAATTTTTTTTCTGTGACTTATAAATATGATTAAAAAATTTCTTTTTTTACCCTATAAGTAGGAGTAGAGAGAATATTCTATATTTTTTAATTTATGTAAAGACTAGAATGACTTAATAATGGTTAACATGCACATACATTTTGTTACTATTACTTCTCATGATAACTTGTTAAAATTATGATGATTGTATAAGGAATGAGTAAAAGACAAAAAGACAAGCAAAATATTAAACCAATATTATTAAAAGTGCAATGGACAAAGCATCAGAAAGCAGATAAGATTGATAGGGTAGAAATATAGAAATGTTAGCATAGCTATTTTTGTTCATACAATGTATATTAGAGAATTATGTACACATCAACATATTTAATTTAACGATATCGGTGATGAAAATGAAACTTAAGGGATTGGAAACAATAAAAAAAATAAAAACTAAAAACTAATACAAAAAGATGCTAAAAATATATGGAGAAACAAATACACACACACACTTCCTTCATTCAAAATATAAGATATTTTTTGAGGGGTTGAATGTTCAAAAATATAAAAAATTTTTAGTCTTTCTAGATGTAATCATTATTTTTTTAAAAGTGCCTTTATTGATGAATGATTTTATATTTATTGTAGGATATTTAATAGGAGTAAATATAAAAAGATAAGATTAATTTGATAGTAGATAACTATTTTATTGAGGAATAAAATTTGATTAAAAATATTTTATATTTTTAAACGAAAGAAGTATATATCTTCTATCTTAAAATATACAAAGAGTATTTATCCATACTATTACTTGGAGTTTGGGGACCCAACTTTAGAAAGACTTGGATTTGATAAGTGGTTAAAGTACTTCCTCCTGTCTCTATTACATGGTATTTTCTAAAAAAAAATTAGTCTTTAATATAGTCATGGGGAGAGTTGTTTATTATTCTTTTCGTTAAAAAAATATAAGGTATTTTTTGAGGAGTTAAATGTTAAAAAATATAAAATATTTTTATTTTTTGAGATGTAATTATTATCTTTTTTTCTAAAAATGCGCCTATTAATAAATAAATTTATATTTATTGTAGGATGTTTTATATAGATAAATATAAAAATATAGGGTTAATTTGAAAGTAAGTAACTATTTATTGAAGGGTAAATTTGATTAAAAATGTCATATATTTTTAAACGGAGGAAGTATTATTTTTTTAATTTTATTCTTGTTGTAAATTTAATTGTATGGCTCATTGTATCTATGAAGCCCTCTCTTTATATTTTTAATAAGAATAAAGTTAAAAAAATTTTAATTTTAAAGATACATATTTGATGAATTAATTATTACTATTCTTTAATTTTAACAAAATATTTGAAAGTGCTAGTAAACTTTGCGGAGTTTAAATAAGATTGTCCAAAAATGAAAATTTTGTCTTCTAGTGATCGCGATATAATCATCCAAGGGACTGGAGCACCCCCAACCACAACCTAAACTTACTCAGAAGCCTTTAAAGCCAAACCGACATTGCCAATTAACCAAAATTGACGCAACTAATTCTTTTTATTTAATTGACTCCGTTAAATCGATGAAAATAAATTAAAAATATTAAAAACTAATTTTGGATATATATTTTCTCTCTCTCAACCTGTCAGTTTTAATTTGAGTTCTAATCTTAAGTGTCATGTCGCTTTGTCTTCTTTGATTTTGATGAAGAGAGATTATATTGCATTGGAGATGTAAAAAAAAAAAAAATATATATATATATATATATAATGATATTTTAAATATATAATAAATATATTAATAACCAATTTATTAATGTTTCATCATTTTTTCAATAACTCCTTCTCAATGGTGTCATCGTCATAGCTTTAGGTAGTTGTTGGCGCTGTCACCGTCTGTCGTTTATCCAATTTTTAATACAAGTTACGTTCCAGCCAATAACAACCATCACTCCATCCTTCAACGGTATTGAAGTTATAACCATAAATGGGGTAATATTTCTTGTTGCCCTTGCTACAAGATGCCTTCTCAAAAATTCTTTGATTCTACATTGGATGAGTTATTAATTATGTTTTCAATATTATTTATATTCAAACAAATTAATTATCATAGAAAATGTTTTTCTTAATTGTTATAAAAATACTCATGTATTTAATATTTGATATTTGACGCGATAAAGATTTGTAAGGCTTCAAATAATCATTATTCTGGCCAAAAGAGTTATCATATCGGACTATAATATTAGTATATTCTCTCTGTTATTTTTTAAGGAATTGAATGTTAAAAAATGTAAGATATTTTTAATTTTTTAATATATAATCATTACTTTTTTTTAAAGTACTACTAATGAATAATATTATATTTATTGTAGGGTGTTTAATAAGAGAAAATATAAAAAGATAGGGTTAGTTTAAAAATAAATAATTATTTTATTAAGAATAAGATTCAATTAAAAATATATTAAATTTTTGAACGGAGAAAGTAGAAAAATTTTTAAATCAATAAATATCATGATCATGATATTAATAAACTTAAATCAAAATAAATGTTATTACAGCACATTATAATAAGAGTAAAAAAATGATATCAAAATAACAATACTCAAGTTTATAAGTTATTATTTTTTATTATATATTAATTATTAAATTTAATTTCGGACTTTTCATATAAAATTAAATCGATTCATATTTATATAACCTAACATTTTTGTCATGCCAATTTTGGAAGTTTAATTTATTCTTAAGTTTTCGGTGGAAACAGAAGTTAGAACACGTCGATTTTCTCTTCCCGATTCAAGCTAGCATTTCCAATAAATTTATTAATTGTTAATTACTCTCTCTCTCTCTCTCTCTCTCTCACAGAGTGTATATATACGCACGCGCCCATGCGCATATACGAATACGAGCCATGCAGTGAACCTACTGAAAGAAACCCAAAGAATTTCGATATTCCTGCAACAAATACGCTAACTAAGCGATGAATGCTTACTTAATGATGTCCCTCTTCTCACCTTCTTCACCTCAAAACTCTTCATCATATAACAGTCCCCCATTGATTCTTCAATCATTGTTCCCATATGATCATCGTTCTCGCAACAGTCCAATTAACTTCCAATTTCAAAGGAACATTCAGATTGAAAGGTCCAAGAAAAAGAAGAACTGTGGAGTTGTTTGTAGCCAGAATATCACCGAAAGCTATGGCGGAAACCTCAGTACTAGTGTTCTTGAGAAGCCAAGGGAGAGCCTTCTTCAAGGCAACCTGATCAGCAGCAGCACAACGACGTCGTTCATTAACATGCCTTTAGAAATCAGACCCCTTGAAGGTGCTATTGGGATCGTCAACTTTTTTGAAGGCAAGAACTTCCTCATCACTGGTGCAACAGGGTTTGTGGCCAAAGGTAATACTGTTTCACTTTCGTTTCCTTGCATGAAAAATTTCCAGCAAAATCAGGTGCGTCTGTTTAAAACAATTATGTGTTAAGAATATTTTTGTCTTGATGAATGACTCATAATAATTTTCTTATCTATTATCACCACCTGAAGCTGTTACTATATATATATATGTGTGTGTGTGAATAATTAATACCAAAATGTGTCTGTTCGCTATGTATTAGGTTCATATCTTATATATGATTTCTTTATTGGCACAAAACACCTCTCAAAGTAGCATCATAGATATCCTCCGTTCGGTTATTATTTTAGATAGAAACTGATTAACACAGAGAAGCATTTATGCAGTTTTTGTGGAGAAGATCTTGAGGATGGTTCCAGAAACAGGAAAGATTTTTGTGTTGATCAAGGCAAAAGACAAGGAAGCAGCCATGGACAGACTCAAAGCTGAAGTGAGTTTTTCCGTTTTAATTAACTTTCCTGACATATATAACCACACAATCACTTGCAGGTACTAACATATATATTGTGGTGATGGATCATTATGAGTGATGAACAGATAATAGAATGTGAACTGTTCAAGATTATCAAACAAGGTCATGGAGAAAGATACGAGGAGTTCATGATGAGCAAGCTGATCCCAGTGGTTGGAACAGTATGTGAACCTGATCTGGGGATGGATTCTCACACTGCTACTGATATTGCCAAGCAAGTTCATGTGGTTGTCAACTCTGCAGCCACTACCTCCTTCGATGAGAGGTTAGTCAAAATTTAGTTTATTGAATCTGAGAGTATTTGATTAAATGAACACTCACAATTTTATCACATAATAAATGAAACAATGTATTTTGCTTGAGTGGTTTTTATACTTTGGCGCTAAATGCTTCCAATTTTTCCCTACATTTTGCTACAGGCTATACGTTTGTATTTCCCTACATTCATGTTGTCGTTTATGAATTAAAATAAAACACATCTATCATTACTTGTTTTAATTTTCCACGACTCAAATTCAGGAAATTAACTTTAGAGAGTGAACTTTAGAGGATTTTGATTCTCGTTTTACATATGGGATATAACATAATAGTAATACTGAGACGATGAAACTTGCAGAGCTTTTAAGGTCAAAAACTCCTCTTTCCATTTTTTTTTTGTAAACTTTAAAAGATGTTTAACTTCATTAGGATGTGAATTATATCCATGTGAAGTTTAAAACATAACACTACTGAGATAATAAGCATATATAATCAAAGCTCTCCTTTGCACTCATATTTTATTTCTTTTTCCATTGTTAAGTAGGGGTCTCCAGGCACTTCTTAAATTTTATGTTATAAAGATGATAACAAATATATTTATTATGAGTTATGAATAATATAAATTATATATTAAATTTTATACCAATATATATTAATATATAAGGACTATGTTCAGATTTCTTAATTTAGCACACCATGTCATTGTAGAAACCGCATCCCATGATGAACATGGGATACTCGTCAATAATAATCTGATCCAAATGATTCAGATTGATTTTGGATGTTTAAATTAATTTTTATTTTTATTTAAATAAAATAATCTTATAATTGTCATTTTTAAAAAAATAAAATTATTTATTTTTTAAACAAATCAACCATTTATAGTATAAATCATTTAAATTAAATTTGAATATTTAAATCTCATTATAATAAAAATCGTGCAATGCTCATCACGGATCCGTGATGAGGACTTGTCAATGTCAATATCGTAAAAAGCCTTGAACATAAAGAAAGGATATTCAATTAATAATGTGCTATGATATTGTCTGAACATTAATTCTGCTAGGTAGCACTGTATCACCTAACCCTTAACAAAAAGGGCAAATAGAACTTTAGATTAAATAAGGAAAATAATAATATTTTGAAATTTTCGTTTCATTAATAACTTTAGGAAGAAAAGCCGTTTAACAAATACTCTACCATTTCAAAATATAAGTTGCTTTTAATAATAATCCACATACTAATAAATTTTTTATTTCTATAAAATATATATACCCTTAGTTTCAATTTATGATAAGTAAAAAAAAGTTATAAATTCACAGATATAAGAATTTATATTAATAAAAAAACTAAATTACTTATATTTTAAATCAAGATTAACCTGAAGAAAATGCTTATATGTTAGACTAAAGGGAATATATCCAAGGTTTCAGTTTGAGATTCCAAAAGTTAAGTGGAGCTAGATCCTGAATTTCTAAGATTTCCAACTTGACTTTTCATGTTTCTATCCCATATATGATGATTATGGAAATTTTTGTCAATTAACATTTCAAGTGCTAATCAAGAATTAAAATCATTATTCTTATTTGATATAAAATGCAATTTTCCTAAAAAAAAATGAAACCTTATGTTTTCTCATTACAAACTACAAAACTACCAAAAAAAAATAATATTCGCAAAAGTTGTGAGTAATATGATTTGAGTTGTCATCCCAAAAGAAATACTCTATATACGGAACACACTATTTTTTATTTATTCATTTTTATTCTATATCAAAAACTAATCTTTTTAATTTGTTGAGCGAAAGTCACTGCAACTATTAAATAGTTCAGGTTCAAACCATGTTGTAATCTTTTAGGAGAATGACATTTGAGGACCATCTAAAAACATTTATAGTTAAAGATCAGATCCTTAATTTTTTTTTTCTTGGTACAAAAGATCCTGAAATTTTATTGAGAGAGGAGTCAGGACAATTCATAACTCCAACTCTTCTCATCATGTTTCGTGTTAAATTGTTTCTTTATATTAATTCATTGTCAGGTACGATGTGGCTCTAAACACAAATACCAAAGGACCTTTTCGTCTTCTAAACTTTGCCAAGAAATGCAAGAATCTCCGTCTCTTCCTTCATATATCAACAGGTATATATATGAGTGCTAGAACCTAATACATTGTATTCGATATATATAAATAAGCAGTGGACTTTATATTGTGAGTGTGCGTATGTGACATTCAGCTTATGTTGGTGATGGAGAAAGACAAGGGATAATATTGGAGAAGCCACTGTACATCGGACAAGGAAGAGCTAGGGCAATCACAGAACATGATATAAATTTTGAGATAAACTTGGCATCAGAAATTGTCAATGCAGTCAAACAGAATCAAGCTACTCAGATGATGAAAGAGCTGGGAATTGAGAGGTACGAACGTAGGATGTTTCAGTTCTTTCACTTTTTTAAATATTCATATTATATATGGATAATTTCTTGTACAGTTTGCTTCGGGTATCTTTTCCTCTCAAGTTAAATTTTTTTATTATTGATTTGATCCCTTAGATTTGATTTGGTTATTGATTTGGTTCTTATCATTTGAAGAAGAGGTAACATTGGCCTGTAAAATTTGCTGATATGAATAACAAAATATTGACTTGCAGTCATATAGATTAATGAAAAGAAGTGTAATTATATCTAAGCAATAAGGAAAAGAAGAAAACTGCCTCAGAAATTGAAAAACATAAAAAAAAAATGCAGCTTAAGAGACTAGATTGATAAAAATTAAATTAATTTGAGAACCACCATAATTTGTTTTCATTCAGCTACCTTTGCATGCCAATTCATTAACATACTTTACACATCAAATCAATTTGAGGACTGATTTGTGTTTCAAAACCTAAAGGATTAATATGATAACTTAATACTAGGTTGATAAAATAAAAAAAAATGTTTTTAGATCCAATTTCTTCTCATTTAGCCACCTACATATGCCAATTAATCGACATAATTTACATATTGGATTAATTTTTTGACCAATTTGTATTTCAAAGTCAAAAGGATTAACATGATAGCTTTAGAAAACATGAGAGATTATATTGATAAAAATTAAACTTGAGAGATTAATTGAGACAAATTTAAATGTCTAAAAGTTTTATTATCCCTTTTAAAAACTTTTTCCCAACACATATACACGCTTTATATAAACTTGAAATCAAAATTGAAGATCAGGTTATATATATTTGGGTCATGATTGAGTGTTTAATTTGTTAAAAGTAATGTAAGATATGTATGATGAATAGGGCGAATATGTATGGATGGGCAGACACGTACTCATTCACAAAGGCGATGGGAGAGATGTTAATAAACAGCTTCAGAGATGACATCCCAATGGTCATACTTCGTCCTTCTGTCATTGAAAGCTCTTATACTCAACCTTTCCCTGGCTGGATTCAAGGATACAGGTGCTATCCTATCATCCCATTATTTTAATTTTTCATTATGTATGCTTTCATCATAATTCATTCTAATTACATCCAATATATGAATTATACATTTCATAAAAATTAACCTTTGGTTTTTGTCTCTTAGTTCTATAGTGGGTCCTTTTAGTCTTTTACTTTAATATCGTTAGTCTTATTAACTATGTCAGTGTTTCAATTTTAAATGGTGATGTGAAGCGTTTTCACAAAAATACTGAGATATTAAGTTTAATTTTTAAATGTTATCTGCATCTTAGTAAACTTTGAAGTTGTTTAATGTAACAGTAAATTTAGCAAACTTTCAATAATCGTGTTACTTTTCACGTCGAAATTAGTCATGTTATTATTATTTTTATAGAGTTTTGACAAAAAAAAAAAATACTGCAAGGAGTTCATTGAAAATTTATCAAACCGTATCACAGCTGAATTCACAATTTAATTTCAAGTGAAACCACATGAATAAACTGTAACTGGTCGAAAATATTTTTTTAAAGCTTTAATTTGCATTTAATTTATTTGCTATTTTTTCAATACATAATTCTCCTTTTCATTATAAAACAGGGTTCTTGATCCACTTATTATTAATTTTGGGAAGGGTCAGCTCCCAGGGTTTCTTGGAGACCCTAAAGCGGTTATAGATGTGGTAAGACCTCATTGGCAAACAATAAAGGTTTAGGTTAACTTTCCATTTCATACTTTACTCCTACTAAATATTAGAAAAAATTAATATGCAAGTCTTTATAGTTTTTCTCAATTTTAAATTAGGTTCTTGTAATTTTTTTTAATCAAGCTCTTATAATTTTATACATATGCAGAATTTTCTTAAAAAATAATAAATTTTATTATTCATTAATAATTTTAACTTTTAGGGATTATCATATCTAATAGATCAGACAATAAAGCCTTGATAAAAACAAAGTATATCACAAGACCTAATTTAAAATTAAGAAAAACTATAAGGATCTATGGATTAATTTTTCCCAAGTATTGAATATATACTCTAAATACTGTACTTTTTTTCACCAACATTTAATCAAAGTAAAAGAGGAAACTTGTGATAAAAATTTAATATCATGAATATATGCATGCAGATTCCAGTGGATATGGTTGCAAATGCCACAATGGCAGCAATTGCAAAACATGGTGCCGCTGCAACACCAGAGTTAAGTGTGTACCACATTGGTTCTTCTGTGGCAAACCCTATTTCATTTGGTGATGTTTTTGATTATGCTCGTCGCCATTTCAATTCTTTTCCATTATTGGAAAAGTCCTCAAATGGGAATAATCAAAACATCAAAATTCAAAAGATGAACTTCTTCAACTCTTTGGATGACTTCTCGTCTTACATTTCGATGGAGATGGCAAAGCAAACTGGATTGTTGGATGCAACAAAGCTTGAACCTCATCATCTTCATCAAACCCTCCAAAAGAAGTCCGCAAAGAAGGCACAGCTTTTTACTCACTTGGCTAAGCTCTATAAGCCATACATGTTTTATAAAGCATGGTAAGCAAATTAAACTCTCTCAGTTAAAACTAAAAAAATACATTTTTAATCCTTTAACTTTATATAAGGTTTTATGTTAGTCCTTTAATTTTATAAAGTATCTTTTTAATCTTTTAATTCTAACATTGTTAGTTTTATCAATAAAAAATTCTCACATTAAACTTTTAAATATTGACAACATTTTTAAATGTTGACATATTAGTTAAGCTCAATTTTTTTAAAAAATAAAAATGGCTGGTACAAAAAAATAACCATATGAAAGTTGAAGCTAATGGTATTAGCTCGAACTAAAAGATTGAAAAGATACATTATAGTATTAACAAAACAATATTATCACTATATGTTTGTAGAATTAAGCATGGAGTGTTGTGATGGTTGGATTTTTGGCTAGGTTTGACAATGGCAATACACAGAGGTTATATGGAGAAATGTCTGGTGAAGAGATGAAGAGCTTTGGATTTGATGTGGGAAGCATAAATTGGGAGCAATACATATCCAACATTCACATCCCAGGCGTGAGAAAACACATTTTCAAGTGTTGAATTCTTGAAGCGAAGGTCTCAGTAATAGTGATTTCATCAGTATATATATGTGTGAGAGAGAGAGAGATATATATATATATATATATAAAATTTGATCATATTATAAAATTTAGTTATGCATATTCTGGTGTTCTGCAATTGTTAGTGTATGATGATGCAGAAGAAATTAAAAGGGGAGTCTCCTTCCGTGGTTGTAAACTTGTAATCAACATCTTACCAGTATGAAATGTTATTATTAAGAATTCCTCTTAATAATAACCTTGTATTGAAATTTTTATTATCTAAAATATTACAATTAAATTTTTTTATAAAATTAGGAATTATACATGCTATGTTTTTAACTATAAAAACGCGCGCCCTCTGTCCAAAATAAAGAACAGAAGAGAGCCAGTCCAGAGGCTAGATGGACTAGACTAGACCAGAGGAGGATTGGGTGAAGCTTAGTGTTGATGGGGCTGTGAAGGGTGGGGATGGAGTTGCTGGCTGTGGTGGTTTAGTCAGAGATCATAGTGGCAACTGGATTAAGGGTTTTGCCCGGAGATTAGGAAGATGTAGCAGTGATGATGCTGAAATGAGGGGAATTCTCGCTGGTTTAGGAATTACTACAGAATTTACCATATAGAAGGGTGATTTTGGAGACTGATTCGGTTTCTGCTGTGAGATGCATGGAGGCATTGCTGATAAATGGAGAAAGGAGAAGTAGGGTTATGACCCGTATTAGCAATATACTGGATAATGGATGGGAAATCAAACTTCAACACATTTTTAGAGAAGGAAACGCTCGTGCAGACTGGATCGCTAAGTGGAGCTGCCTACAATCCAATTCTTTGTATGTTCTAGATGATCCACCTGATGGTTTCGGAGTTTATCTGTTTAGGGATATATTGGGCATGTCATGCCCAAGACTTGTTGACTAATTTTGTTTTTGTTTTGGGCTTTGTGCCCCCCTCTTAGTATCAAAAAAAAAAAAAAAAACGCGCGCCCTCTGGTTTTTTCCCTTGAAATTATGCAAATCTTGCATATGTTTTCAAAGTACACACAAATTAATGACGACTCTTGACATAAGAAAGGAGATCTGAGTAATTAATTAAGTTACTTTTTTATGGGAGGTTTTGTTCAATGCCTGTAAATCAATCAATTATACACGTTGTGCTCTAAATAAATACCATAACGTAAATTTTAAAAAAAATATGATTCAACAACTTTAAAACATTTAAAAAGCAGTCTTTCACTAAAACCTCAAAGAGCCATATATAATTAAGTTAACCTCAAAGCCTTGGAGTGGGTGAGTTTCAGATGACCTATATATTCGCCTTCATCTATAAATGATAACGTTTCTTTTGGCCAGAAGTTTATTTTTATATTTAGTTAGAGGAAATTAACAAAGCTAAAAACCAGCCAAGAGAAGGATACTCATTTTAGATAATGTTTACTTTTTTAGTCCTACTTATAAGTTACTTCTATCATGTTTCAGGAAAACCATAAAAAATCTTAAATCTTATTAATTTTATATAAAAATTTAACAAGTTTTTAACTCTCAATAAATACCCCCTCCAATCTTATTTGCAAGATGTTTTTAACCAAATCAAGTGGATTAAAAAATTTGGTTAAAATTAGTTAAGAGTCTTATTTTTTATAGAAATCCTAAATTATCCTTAATTAAAATTATTAACTTTCAAGTTTGAATCCTAAGCATATAGTTGTGTTAAATACTTGTTGGGAGAGTTTTGCCATTAATATAATCCTATTTGGCTCAGTCCATGAATAATGGGTAATTGTATTAAAAAAATTATGAAGTTTTGTAAGGGTCCTTATATTAAGGACTAAGCAAAGTTTGTAGGTGTTTTATAGTGTCCAAAGATATATCATCATCCAAATATACGCAACTAATTTCGTTGGTTGAATGAAGGCAACAATTCAAGTTGAAAATTCAACTATGTTAAAATGCTTGTCTTCATCCAAACCTCTCTATTCTTATCGAAAGTCGTCAAGATACTTGTTCTTTGGCTTAAATTTGTCATAGAAAAGTCATAACTTGTAAATGAAAAGTGAAACAGAAATAGAATATATGCAAATGGCCTGCTGTGAGTAAAGTGATTGTTGGCTTCAAATTTTATTGGTGGATTTTGTTTCTTTTCTACTTCTGATCTAAATTGTTTGATTCAAATGAAAAATATTTCAGATTCATATTTTACAAGTGGATCCTTTTTTTTTTCCCGAGTTTTTCTCCATTATAATTTTCGATTATTCAAATCAATTACTGTGCATATAATTTAATATTCTTACATTTTCTTATAAAATAATACACATTTAACTAATCCAAAGAAACAAATTACAAGTGAGAGAAAGTGTTCGGCCTGAAATTAAAATAGGCTAAGCATGATTATTTTATTTTATTTTGTTAAGAAAAAAGTGGTCCAAAATCCAAATAGTTTTATGTAAAGCCGCTATAAGTTCCAAGCCAAGTATAATGATTAACGTATAGTACTTAAAAAAAAAAAAACACGAGGGAGGGACGAATTAGAGACAACATCATGCAAAACACTTGACAGTTTGAGGGCGTGGAAGGCATTTTCAAGAAGGGAATGTATGCAAAACATTTGCTTATATTCTACTATTTTTGTTTCACTTTTGATATATTTTATTTTATAAAAAACATACGTCTTCAAAAATATAAAATATTTTTAATTGAATCTCATTTTCTAATAAAGTAATTACTTACTTTTCAACTAGTCATCTCTTTTTAGATTTACCTTTATTAAACACCTTACAATAAATATAAAGTCACTATTAATAAAGGTATTTTTGAAAAAAAAAGTAATGATTATATTTTAAAAGACTAAAAATGCCTTAATTTTTAAACGTCTAACTCCTTAAAAAATATCTTATATTTTTGAACGGATGGAGTATTTGTATTGGAACCTTTGACCCAGTAAAAGCAATTCAGAATATTTTGGATCTTTGGTGCAATTTTTTTTATTATAGGGCCCTTATGTGCAATTCTCCCAAAATTCTTTCCGACTTATCAAAAAAAAATATTTGTATAAAAAATTATAGAAAATCGTATTGTTCATAAACCAAGTCATTACCGTGTAAAGGCATGGCGCTTTACCTTTCTTCAGTGTTTTAGTTAGAACTTAAAAAAAATAAAAAATCAAAGAATCTCCGAGTAAATGCCAGGTGATAGCTTTGCTATGAATAATAATATTGATCATATTAGACCCTAACATTAGATGCCAATAATCTTAGACAAAAGTAAGCCTCATGGACCACACGGTTTTTTATTACTTATTAATCTATTGCCATTCATTTTCAATATTGTTTGTATTTAACACTGCAAAACAAACTTCATGAGAGCAAGACTTAATCAATCAGTCTTTGGAATATATTTAAGCCTTTAAACTCTTTCACATAATTTCAAAGATTTGACCCATCCCACACGTTATATATATGCAACATTATCAAGAAGAACAGGACATGCATGCAATTGATGATGTCGAAAATGGATTAAAAAAAGTCCTTTAAGTGCTAATTCCGCTTTTTCATGAATAAAATTAAATGGCCTTATATATATATATATAATCCAGCTTGACATATATATTTGACCTATATATATATATAAGATTTATAGCAAATTGTATGACTCCCAAACAAATAAATATTATTTAATTTTTTGTGTTCAATACAATACACAAAGTGATAGCTTTGTTGAAGGATACACTTTATTACATACTTTTCTTTCCCTCCTTATTGTTTGTAACTATCAAATGGGACCAAAGATTTTGATCTCTTGTTTTATAGCAGCCTTTTCTACTATATGTATACTGCTGTAAAAGAAAATTCATGAGAGCCACTAATTGAAGTTAACATTAACGCATCAACATATAAGTTTTTTGGAATATATATATATATATATATTAGATGACTTCAAAGACTTTACCCATTCCACACATTTTAGTTAACGTAACATCATCAAAAACATATGTATTATTCATGATTTAGAAAAATTTATGTCAAATATTATCTCAAAATATTATAACCAATTTTTAATGTTATATCAATCATTTTAATTCAATCGATAGATACATTGATTCAAAATTGATTTGCACACACATATATATATATATATATATATATGATGACACATTATTTAAATTAATGAAATGATATGTTTAAGTTCTTACATTAGTGCCAAAAACAATTTTTGCGATAGTTGAGAAGTTATTTTTGTAACACAGGTCAGAATGTATTAGAACTAAATGTGTAAAAATAATAAAAAAATAGAAAAAATTGATCTTTTAGTTCTTCAACTTTTAATTCACTTGTAACTCAATCCCTCAACTATGACTTGCCTATGACTCAGTTCCTCAACTTTTGAATCACATACAAATTAGTCCTTGAACTTTTGTTTATTTTTTTTTTTCATATTAGCTTATATCTCATATCAATGAGCTAGAAGAGGATATTTTAGAATAATATATGAGCATTTTTTTATTCCTTTTATTTGATAAGAAATTTAAAAAAAATAAAAAATAAGGATCGAATTATAGGTAAATCAAAAGTTGAGGGATTGAGTCGCAAAGAGTTATAGTTGAGAGACTGAGTTACAATTAAGTTAAAAGTTGAAGGATTAAAAGATTAATTTTTTTAAAAAAAATATTTCACGACAGTTGGTAAAGAAATTGTCACAAAAAATGATCATTTAATATTTACGATGACAATTGAACCTCAAAACTAATGTCATAATTATTAATTACATCAATAGTTTCAAGAGGCCACTGTCGCCGTAATTGGCAATTATAGCTACAGTTCACTTGCTTAATGTCGCCGTGATTGGGTATTTACAAAAAAATAAAAAATAAAATAAACAATTTTTTAGCAATATTAACGCTTGATTTAAAAATTAAAATTTTCATTTAAATAAAAATATAATTTAAACACATAAATTCTAAACAATACACTAAAATTTAATTGAAACTGACATGCATAAATCATTTAATTAAAAAAAATTATATAATATTATTTAATATTAAGGGAGATTGACAAGGAAGCAAAGTAAATAGCAAAAGTCAATATCAAACAAGAACATACAACCCATCTATCCACCCCAAGCAATGATCCATTTGCAAAATATTTTGGTACCACTCAGTCTTGCATGCAAGTCTTCTTCTATGAAGGATTGATTTTGCATACAATGCCCAATGAGTGCCCCTCCTCTTGCACATAGTTAAGGCAAGATTTCACCTCTTAAAGAGCAAAGCAATGGATATCAAATCATGCTAAACATTCTTCAACTAAATTATTGACTAAAATTGCATCAACATTACCGATATATACTTCAATTATCATAATCGAACACTGTAAATTCTTCAACTAAATTCTTGACTAAAATTGCATTAACATAACCGATATATACTTCAGTCATGTTTAGGGACTGTTGTCACAACATATTTTTGTTTGTAATTTTTTAAATAATAATAATCATAATAAATATAAAATATCATTATATTAAACAGTAATAATAAATATTAAATTAAAATTTAATAATGCATATTAGAAATAAAAATTTAAGAATGCATAATAAATTATACTAAAATTAAAATACAATAAATGTTATTATACAAATAAGATATTAAAAAATAATTTATAATATTAATTCATAAGAAAAATATAATAATTTATTTGTATATTATAAAATTAAAGATAAAATAAAAAGCCAATGTATTATCGCGATAGTTGGAATTGTCGCTGTAATAGCATCCCTTTTACAAAATATTTATTACTTCGCCGTTGAATATATTATTATCACAGTTCTTTGTAGAACTGTTACAAAAATAGTGTCATTAAAATAGTATTTTGCACTAATGTTATAATTTAAAGTAACTATTTGGTACATGTGATAGAATTTGAATTAAAATTATTTCAAAATTGAATTGATAGATGTGCCAAGTCATGTTTATATTATTAAAATA